ATGGAGGGGGAGCTGAGCTGAGGAGGACGGGACTTAATCTTGTGACTTCAGGTCCGCTGGAACGACAACATTGGGAGAAAAATGCAGCCGAAAGTTGCATTAGGAAAAACATCAGAAGCAGAGATATGCCCATTTTGACTCTCCTGCACCCTATCTGCATAACTTAGCAATTATAAAATATAGACACACTTTTACTCTTGCAAAATTGAATATACTGCCTTCGGTTGTACTTGAGGGACAATTCCAACAAATTCCACACGAAAAACGGTTATGTCTCTGTGGAGATGGCAGTACAAAATCAGTGGCGCATGTCCTTCTGGTTTGCGCTCTTTATAAAGATTTGAGGTTATCACCTCTATTTTATTGTCCATTCCGGGTCTCCCAGTCCCTGTCACAGTGTCCTTTCTCTCAGCAGACCAAGATGAGCAGGTGACAGCAAAGGTTGCAAGCTTTTTAGCTGGGGCAATTAGATTAAGATCCACCATTTGACTATTGATTCAAAACCCCAAAATGTATTTTATATAATTGACTTTTTATCTTTATTCTTTGTATATCGTACTGTTTGTTTTATTGCTATGGCCGGTGGCTGATGCAAATAAAGATTCATTCATTCATTCAGCAGCAGCAGAGATATAAAACCAATGAAGTTAAAAACTGGTCAGACCTCACCTGGAGTACTGTGTCCAGTTCTGGGCACCACAGTTCAAGAAGGACACTGACAAACTGGAACGTGTCCAGAGGAGGGCAACCAAAATGGTCAAAGGCCTGGAAACGATGCCTTATGAGGAACGGCTAAGGGAGCTGGGCATGTTTAGCCTGGAGAAGAGGAGGTTAAGGGGTGAGATGATAGCCATGTTCAAATATATAAAAGGATGTCACATAGAGGAGGGAGAAAGGTTGTTTTCTGCTGCTCCAGAGAAGCGGACACGGAGCAATGGATCCAAACTACAAGAAAGAAGATTCCACCTAAACATTAGGAAGAACTTCCTGACAGTAAGAGCTGTTTGACAGTGGAATTTGCTGCCAAGGAGTGTGGTGGAGTCTCCTTCTTTGGAGGTCTTTAAGCAGAGGCTTGACAACCATATGTCAGGAGTGCTCTGATGGTGTTTCCTGCTTGGCAGGGGGTTGGACTCGATGGCCCTTGTGGTCTCTTCCAACTCTATGATTCTATGAAAACTGGATTTATTAAACACACAGAGATTGAAAAGAAAATATTTATTGTTCCTCACTCAATGTTTTTTGAAAGGTTAAATAATAAAATAAAATAAATAGAAACCATTGAGTGCAGCTGTTGACTAAGTGATAATTTTGTAAAATGGAATGTAATCAGAAGTAAATAAGAATATGGAACACAGTACAGTGGTGCCTCGGAAGTTGAATGCTTCCATAGTCAAACATTTCAGCTCCCAAATGACAAAAACCCGGAAGTATGTGTTCCAGTTTTTTAACAATTTTCGGAAGCCAAACGTCTTGCAAGGGGACAAGCAGCTTCAAATTGTCTCTTCCGATTGCAAGACCCAATCAGAAGTCAAATGTTTCGGAAGTTGAATGTCCTTCCAGAACGGATTGCTTCTGAGGTACTACTAATATTAGATCACAAGGATCCATCAAGTACGGCGTGCAGGAAACCACTTAAACAAAATTGTAGCTATTTGGAAATAATTTGTACAATTGGGTTAAAAGTGGAGTGGGGGGAATGATGGGGGGGGGTGATTCTTTGACCTGGAAAACGTTCAGAAAACGCCAGCAGCCAATTTTCACTCTGAGTGACAGTTAATAGGTAGATGGACCACCTCAGTTGTAATTAGTGCAAGTCTCAAAAATAATTAAAAGGGAGGTTTTGCTCACCTGATGCCCTAAGGGCTAACCTTAAGAGCTAGTATGCTGCGTTTGGGACCAATAGCAGTTCCTCTCTCTGAGTTTCTCCTCCACATCCAGAAAAAAACTCCTTGTCTCTGTGTGATGAACTGCTCCTTCAGTGCAAATGAGGTTAATCCTGTTTAATCTCTCTATCTTCAAAGGCAGAGTGTGATACGAGGATTCGGCCTTTGCTATCCTAAATCACCGCATAATTATCTCTGTCGTGCTGGCAGCTGTTTGATAGTCACCTATTCTCCTTTGTCTAGATTAGTGTTTTATTGTATTATGAACCGCCTTAATAAAATCCTATAGATTAAAAAGTTATGTAAAAATTACGCTATTTTCTGCTTTTTTTGACATTTATCTTCCTTTGAAATTACAGAATTAATCTGATAATTGATCACGCTCATTTTTGCCTTGGCTGGCAGTCAGATAAGCAAGGTAAGTTTAAGTGGAAGCCAAGCTATAGAGGAACAGAAAAAGGCTCTGGTTACAATGGAAACAGGGCAGGATGGAAATTATTGTCTAGTACAAATTTATGAGCACAGATGCAAATTTAGAAGCTATTACTATGATTTAAATAAAAATATATGTGCTTCCTTTAAACCATGGGTTTGCAAACTAAGCACCAGATCTGGCCCAATTGCCTTCTAAATCCAGCCCACGGATATTCCAGGAATCAGCGTGTTTTTACATGAGTAGAATGTGTGCTTTTATTTAAAATGCATCTCTGGGTTATTTGTGGGGCATATTAATTCATTCATATATTTTTCCAAAATATAGTCTGTTAAGGAAAAATCTAGGTGTGAGGCTGCTCAGTCACCCAGCTCGTCGGGCAGAGCCCGCGGGTCCCTGCGGAATAAAGGAAGGATTCCAGCCACCAACCGGAGCAAATACCATATTTTTTGCTCTATAAGACTCACTTTTTCCCTCCTAAAAAGTAAGAGGAAATGTGTGTGCGTCTTATGGAGCGAATGCAGGCTGCACAGCTATCCCAGAAGCCAGAACAGCAAGAGGGATTGCTGCTTTCATTGCGCAGTGATCCCTCTTGCTGTTCTGGCTTCTAAGATTCAGAATATTTTTTTTCTTCTTTTCCTCCTCCAAAAACTATGTGCGTCTTGTGGTCTGGTGCGTCTTATAGAGCGAAAAATACGGTAGCTGTAGACCAAAGTTTATTGTGCAATAGGTTCAGAGAGCAAATTTTGAACCCCGAGGATGGGGTGACAAAGACTTTTAAAACTTTCCCACCATATCCCAGAATACAGTTCGTACAGCATCATTGCTACATCATTCCTACATCACTGACATGTCACAAAAGGGGAGGGGTTAACCTTGGCAAACATGTCCAGACAAGTCCTTGATACAAGATTAGCACAAGCAGACATGGCAGGGCAAGACTCAGGTATAAGATTAGCATAGACAAATATGTCCTAAGTACCCACCACCCAAAAGTACAATAGAAGTTCCTTTGCATGTCTGGAGCCTGAGGCGAGTCAGGTGATGAGATTTGGCTTCCCTTGGCTAACAATGAGCCCAGCAATTGTCACCTCTGGGAACTTCCTGGAGTCCCTTTTCAAGGGGAAAATAGCTTTGGAATGGAGGAAACTGGGAAAGGAGATGATTTTATATTATTTTTAAAGCTAAGTGACTTCCCTGAGCTGTCAAGTTGAAAGGATATACAGTGGTGCCTCGCAAGACGAAAAGAATCCGTTCCGCGATTCTCTTCATCTAGCGGTTTTTTCGTCTTGCGAAGCAAGCCCATTGACGGCTTAGAGGATTAGCGCTATTAGCAGCTTAGCGGTTTTTAGCCGCTTTTAGCGGCTTAGCGGATCAGCTGATAAGCGGCTTAGCGGCTTAGAAAAAGGGGGGGGGAAACCCCACAGGAACTCGCAAGACATTTTCGTCTTGCGAAGCAAGCCCATAGGGAAATTCGTTTTGCGAAGCGCCTCCAAAACGGAAAACCCTTTCGTCTACCGGGTTTTCCGTCTTGCGAGGCGTTCGTCTTGCGGGGCACCACTGTATTCAGGCATAATATTTGTAATATGTAACTTTAAAGATGTGCCCCCCCCCCGTAATTTCCGTAACAGTAATTTCCCCCCACAATGTCTGAGGGACAGTGGACCTGCCCCCTGCTGAAAAAGTTTGCTGACCGCTGCTAAACAGTTGAAGAAAGTTTTCTTTTAACTAGCTTTTCAAGCCAGATGGAAATGTATCTAATTTAGATGTTCTTTTTCCCTACTGAATTTGATATCGTATGCGGCTGCTTTGCATTATTTTTAAAAAAACGTTATCATGTTTCACCGTATTGTAAATGGCCCTGTGGTGAGATATTCGTGTTTAAATATAAATAAATATATGGGTGAATATACAGTGGGTCAGTGCAGCAGTCAGAAATCAGGAGACTTCTCTGTTTGATTCAGACTGTGATTCAGTTGCTCATTGCTGATGGGCAACTTCAAAGCCCAGCAGACACAGAAGATTAGGAGAAGACACCACTAAGGAAGCTGTATCTCTCTCTAAGGGTCGCAGTTGAGCCTCACAAACTACCAGGAGCCTCACAAACTAGATTTCTCTCAGAAATGGGCACTTTCTGCTCCCCCTCGCCCTCTTCAGCAACCGGCATTCGGAGACATCCTGTCAGTCCTATTATCCATCACATCTGTGCTTGGATTTGAAGAAATATTTCCATTTTATATACTAATTTCCTTCCAATCCAGTTCAGCCCCCTCCCTCCCAAGGTCTTCCTTCCAAAACCTCTCCTTCTCTCAGCCACCCTTTCACTGGTTGTCCCATTTACTCTTTCCACCTCCTGCTGGCTCCCCAAATGGACCCTATTTTGGACAGAGGTGACTTGGCAACTGCACTCCAGGCTCTGGTAACTTCCAGGCTGGGTTACTGCAATGTCTTCTGTTTGGAGCTTCCCTTAAAGATGACTCATAAACTTCCATGGGTCCAGATTATGGGCTGGGGTTCCATCCACCTCTGAGATAAATCCTAAACCCTTGTTAAACCACTTGGACCACAGAACAGCTTCTGGGTTAGTGGTGAATGTCACATCAGCAGATTCCTTGAGACCATGAGCCCTTCCTTCAGATACACTTTCCTCCCCTCCTTCCTCTCTCCCCATATATACACACAGGTACACAGGGATTGTTTATTGTGAATTTACTCCTTTAACCATTAACATCTATATTATCTGCTTTTTTGTACTTTTTATTATTCTGCACCCTCGTGATTTCTCCCATGTGAAATCTTGTATGAATTTCATGAAGTTTAGCAACAGCGGTGCTCTAATTAAAATGCTTTCCTCATCACGAGCATCTAAATGTTTCTCCTCTTGATTCACTACTGCAAAATGAGTTGTGAAATCTGACCAAATCTTTTCCCACACTCCAAGCATATGTATGGTTTATCCCATGTGAGTTCTTTTATGATAAGTAAAGCTATATCCATGTGCAAATCTCTTTCCACAGTCCAGACATTTATAGGGTTTCTCCCCTGTGTGAATTCTTTGGTGCGATGTAAGGCTTGTGCTGTGACTGAAGTTCTTTCCACACTCAAAACAGGAATATGGTTTCTCCCCTGTGTGAATTCTTTGATGAGATTCAAGGCTTGAGCTGTGAGTGAAGCTCTTTCCACACTCAAAACATGCATACAGTTTTTCACCTTTGTGAGTTTTTTGATGTGATGTAAGGCTGGTGCCCTGGCTGAAGCTCTTTCCACACTCAAAGCACTTATATGGCTTTTCTCCTGTATGGATTCTGCGATGGCAAACAAGGTATGTGCAGTTACTAAAGCTCATTCCACATGTCACACATTTATATGGTTTTTCCCCTGTATGGATTCGCTCATGCACAGTAAGGTGTGAACTCTGACTGAAGCTCTTCCCACACTCAAAGCATTTATACGGCTTCTCACCAGTGTGGGTTCTCTTATGTGAAGTAAGGTGTGAACTCTGACTGAAGTTCTTTCCACATTCCAAGCATTTATATGGTTTGTCCCCTGTGTGGGTTCTCTTATGTGAAGTAAGGCTACCACTGTGAGCAAAGCTCCTTCCGCACTCCGAACAGTTATAAGATTTCTCCCCAGTGTGAATTCTTTGATGCAATGTAAGACTTGAGCCGTGAGCGAAGCTCATTCCGCACTCCAAACATTTATACGGCTTCTCCCCTGTGTGGATTTTTTGATGTATTGCAAGGCTTGAGCTGTGACGGAAGGTCTTTCCACAGTCAAAACAGGTATACGGTTTCACCCCTGTGTGAATTCTTTGATGATATACAAGGCCTGAGCTGCTAGTGAAGGCCTTTCCACACTCAAAACAGGTATACGGTTTCTCCCCTGTGTGAATTTTTTGATGATATACAAGGCCTGAGCTGCTAGTGAAGGCCTTTCCACACTTAAAACAGGTATATGGTTTCTCCTCGCTGTGGACTTTGTGATGTCTTTTAAGGTTTGAGTGGTGACTGAAACCCTTTCCACATTCTAGGCATTGGTATGATTCCTGTCCTGCATGAATTCTTTCATGTGATTTTAGGCCTGAGCTGTCACTGAAGTTCTTTCCACACACCAAGCATTTACATGGTTTCTCCTCTGTGTGGATTCTGCAGTGTGAATTGAAGCTAGACTTACTTTTGAATGTTTTGCCACATAAAGGTCTCTCATTTGTTCTCTTCACCTTCTGATGTTTTTTCTGGACTGGGATTCGATGGTCGTTATCAGTCTGCGTTAGAAGGCCTTCATACCTCCCATTTTCTTCTTGGTTTTCCTCTTGTGGTCTTGTTTCCTCTTGATCTTGAAAGGTCCTTCCTTTGACTTCATGCTTATTTCTTTCTGATGAGACCCGAGAACAACGACTGTCGTGTTCATCACCTGCTAAAGTTAAGGGAAGATGACAATTAAAAATGTAACCCAAATCACAATCCTAGCGAGACTTTCTGTAACATCTGATGATGGTGGTGATTTTATTATTCATACCCTGCCTATCTGGCTGGGTTTCCCCAGCCACGCTGGGCAGCTTACAGCATATATAAAACATCAAACTGACCAAGTGTCAACACAAGGGGGCTTGTGAAGAAGGCGCAGCAGAGACTGTACTTTTTGAGAATTCTAAGGAAAAACCATCTTCCGCAGAAACTGCTGCTTGCCTTCTATCACTGTGCCATTGAGAGCGTGCTCACTTATGGCTTATGTGTGTGGTACGGAAGCTCGGCCCTGAATGGGAAGCCTGGACTTTGAAAGTCATTTAATCTTCCTTGCTGTACTATACTGTATTGTTTTAATTAGTGGCTTTGTGGAGCAGTCAAGTAATTTCGTTGTCCCCGAGAGGGGGTAATGACAATAAAGATATTATTATTATATTATTATTATTATATTACAGGGCTGCCTTCAGATGTCTTCTAAAAGTAACATAGTTCTTTATCTCCTTGAGAACTGAAGGGTGCCACCACTGAGCAGGCCCTCTACCTGGTTCCCTGTAACTTCACTTCTGGCAATCAGGGAACCAGAGCTGGACCTCAGTGTCTGGGGTTAGAGATGCTCCTTCAGGTCTACAGGGTCAAGACTGTTTAGAGCTTTAAAGGTCAGCACCAACACTTTGAATGATGCTCAGAAACAAACTCTGAGCCAATGTAGATCCTTTAAGAACAGTGTTATATGCTCCTGGCAACTGCTTCCAGTCACCAGTTGAGCTGCCGCTTTCTGGATTAATTGTAGTTTCCGAGTCACTTTCAAAGGCAGCACCACCTAGAGTGCATTGTAGCAATCCAAGCGGGAGATAACCAGAGCATGTACCACAGTCTGTGTGCAGGTAGGGACTTAGCCTGTGTAGCAGATGGAGTTGGTAGACAGCAGCCCCCAAATCCTGACTATGGCCAAGTCACCATTAGAAAACATTCATTTCCTGCCTATCTTTAATCTCTGCCAGTCCAGAGCTCTGGCCCTGCAGCCCTCCTTGTTTTCTTGCCAGGGGAGCTTCCTCAGCCCCCAATATCTCCCCAGGTCCCCATCTCCATTCCTTGGAACTCACCAGATCTCTCTAAAGGTCCTGGGAGGGAACATTCAAAGGTGGTGGGAGACAGCCTGACCAGGTCAACCGTCCATCTTCCTCCTTCCATCCTCGCTAGGTTTGCAGAATAATAATAATAATAATAATAATAATAAATAAATAAATAAATAAATTCTTATTTATACCCCACCCTTCCTGGTTCAGAAAACCGGGCTCAATGCAGCGAACAACAAATTTAAAACACTTAATTGATGCAACAAAAAACAGCATAAAATACAGTATAAAATGTGAATAACAATAAATTCAGAATTCAAAAATCAAAAATCAATTTAGGTGGAAATCCATCCACGTAAACATTAGATGATCACCAGGACTAGCTGCCTAAATTAGTCCTATTTGGGCCAGCGAGGAGACCAGGGGAGAATTAGCTGTGGGATCCCAGTCCAGCAAATGGAGGAACGTGTAGCTGCGCTCCAAAGAATTAGAGAGCTGGAGCTCTTCTTGGAAGCAACAGAGAACACCGTCTCCACCAAGGAGGAGATAGGGGACACCCCTGAGAAGGAAGCTAGTTCACCAACACAGGAGCCAGATATATGGAGAAACATGACTCAAAGAAGTAGGAGGCCCAGGGTTCCCTCTGATTGTTTAGAAATACACAATAGCTTTGAGGTCCTCTCCCCTAGCATGGAAGACGAAGAGCAGACTCCATTTGAGGATCTCTCCCTCATTACAGTCGATCAGGTATATGAAGACGAGCAGCAAAGTCAGTCCTCAGGGAATGTGCAGGCGACCTTGGAACGGACAGCTCACAGAAGAACCCCGACCAAAACTAAGAGGAGGCGTGTAGTGGTGAAAGGGGATTCCCTACTGAGGGGAACAGAAGCAGTTATCTGTGGGCCTGACAAGATGTCTCGGGAAGTGTGCTGTCTCCCCGGGGCTAAGATCCAAGATGTAACTGAACGACTGCAAGGAATCATAAAACCCACTGACAAATACCCCTTCCTCTTGGTTCATGTGGGAACCAATGACACTGCAAGCAATAGCCTCCAGAAGATCAAAAGAGACTACGAGGCTCTGGGCAGGAAATTGAAGCAATTAAATGCACAAATTGTCATCTCATCTGTCCTCCCAGTTGAACGACGTGGCCCAGGGAGAGAGGGAAAAATAGTGGAAGTGAACAACTGGCTTCGCAAATGGTGCAAACAGGAACGGTTTGGATTCTTAGATCACGGAATGCAGTTTCTTGAAGATGGACTTCTGGCAAGCGATGGGCTGCACCTCACAACGGTTGGGAGGAATGTTTTTGCAAAAAATCTCAGAAACCTCATCAGGAGGGCTTTAAACTGACTAATGTGGGGGAGGGAGACAGTGCTCCTGAAGGTAGGAGTCTATCAATTGATGAAGATGATCATCCAAATGTCATAGACCGAATGGAGCAAAGAGCATGCAGACCTAGTGGTGGGAGGAGAAAATCCTTAAATAAGAGACACGGGGGAATGATTAATGGACTTCAATGTCTGTACACTAATGCGCAAAGCATGGGAAATAAACAAGATGAGCTTGAGCTCCTGGTACAGCAAACTAAATATGACATAATAGGAATCACTGAAACCTGGTGGGATAAATCCCACGATTGGAATGTAATAATGGAGGGATACAATCTATTTCAAAGAAACAGACCAGACAAGAAAGGAGGAGGAGTGGCGTTATATGTCAGGGATGTGTATACCTGTGAAGAGATCCAAGATTTAGAACCTCAAAGCCAAAGTGAGAGCATTTGGGTCAAAATTAAGGGAGAGAAGAATAACAGTGACCTCATTGTGGGAGTTTACTATAGATCCCCAAGCCAAACGGAGGACATAGATGATGCCTTCCTGGAACAGATGGCCAAGCATGCAAAAGGAAGGGAGATAGTAGTAATGGGGGACTTCAATTACCCGGATATTTGTTGGATGTCAAACTCAGCCAAGAGCATAAGGTCAAACAGATTCCTCACTGCCCTTGCAGACAACTTCATTGTCCAGAAAGTGGGAGAAGCAACAAGAGGAACAGCCATTTTAGATCTGGTCCTAACCAATGTTGATGACCTGGTTAGTGGGGTAGAAGTGGAAGGATCATTAGGCGCGAGTGATCATGCTCTTCTGAAGTTTACTATACAGCGGAAAGGAGCAGCCAAGCATACTAGGACTCAATTTCTCGACTTTAAGAAAGCCGACTTCATAAAGCTTAGGGAAGTGCTGGGTGAGATCCCATGGACAGTAATACTAAAAGGAAAGGGAGTTCAAGATGGCTGGGAGTTTGTTAAGAGGGAGATAGTAAAAGCACAACTTCAGGCAATACCAATGAGACGGAAACATGGAAGGTGCCTAAAGAAGCCAGGGTGGCTATCTAAAGAACTTTTAACTGAGTTAAGATTAAAAAAGGATGTGTACAAAAAATGGAAAAGGGGGGAAACCACCAAAGAGGAATTCAAACAAATAGCCAGCACGTGTAGACACAAAGTCAGAAAAGCTAAAGCACAAAATGAACTCAGGCTTGCTAGAGAGGTTAAAAGCAACAAAAAAGGCTTTTATGGGTATGTTCGTAGCAAAAGGAAGAACAAAGAAACCGTGGGGTCACTCAGAGGAGAAGATGGTGAAATGCAAACATGGGACACAGAAAGGGCTGAACTCCTCAATGCCTTCTTTGCCTCAGTCTTCTCCGATAAAGAAAACAATGCCCGACCTGAAGAATTTGGAGCAAATGATTCAGCAGAGGAAACACAGCCCAGAATAATAATTTCTTGACTTTAAGAAAACTTAGGGAAGTGCTGGAGATAGTACAAGAATACTTGGCTAGTTTAGATGTATTCAAGTCTCCAGGGCCAGATGAACTGCATCCAAGAATATTAAAAGAACTGGCAGATGTGATTTCAGAACCACTGGCAGTCATCTTTGAGAATTCCTGGAGAACAGGCGAAGTCCCGGCAGACTGGAGGAGGGCAAATGTCCCTATTTTCAAAAAGGGGGAAAGAGAGGACCCAAATAATTATCGCCCAGTCAGTCTGACATCAATACCAGGGAAGATTCTGGAGCAGATCATTAAGCAAACAGTCTGTGAGCAACTAGAAAGGAATGCTGTGATCACCAATAGTCAGCATGGATTTCTGAAAAATAAGTCATGTCAGACTAACCTGATCTCGTTTTTTGACAGAATTACAAGCCTGGTAGATGAAGGGAACGCAGTGGATGTAGCCTACCTTGATTTCAGCAAGGCATTTGACAAGCTGCCCCATGATATTCTTGTAAAGAAGCTGGTAAAATGTGGTCTTGACTATGCTACCACTCAGTGGATTTGTAACTGGCTGACTGACCGAACCCAAAGGGTGCTCATCAATGGTTCCTCTTCATCCTGGAGAAGAGTGACTAGTTGGGTGCCACAGGGTTCTGTCTTGGGCCCGGTCTTATTCAACATCTTTATCAACGACTTGGATGATGGACTCAAGGGCATCCTGATCAAATTTGCAGATGACACCAAACTGGGAGGGCTGGCTAACACCCCAGAGGACAGAATCACACTTCAAAACGACCTTGACAGATTAGAGAACTGGGCCAAAACAAACAAGATGAAGTTTAACAGGGAGAAATGTAAAGTATTGCACTTGGACAAAAAAAAATGAGAGGCACAAATACAAGATGGGTGACACCTGGCTTGAGAGCAGTACATGTGAAAAGGATCTAGGAGTCTTGGTTGACCACAAACTTGACATGAGCCAACAGTGTGACACGGCAGCTAAAAAAGCCAATGCAATTCTGGGCTGCATCAATAGGAGTATAGCATCTAGATCAAGGGAAGTAATAGTGCCACTGTATTCTGCTCTGCTCAGACCTCACCTGGAGTACTGTGTCCAGTTCTGGGCACCACAGTTCAAGAAGGACACTGACAAACTGGAACGTGTCCAGAGGAGGGCAACCAAAATGGTCAAAGGCCTGGAAACGATGCCTTATGAGGAACGGCTAAGGGAGCTGGGCATGTTTAGCCTGGAGAAGAGGAGGTTAAGGGGTGATATGATAGCCATGTTCAAATATATAAAAGGATGTCACATAGAGGAGGGAGAAAGGTTGTTTTCTGCTGCTCCAGAGAAGCGGACACGGAGCTATGGATCCAAACTACAAGAAAGAAGATTCCACCTAAACATTAGGAAGAACTTCCTGACAGTAAGAGCTGTTTGACAGTGGAATTTGCTGCCAAGGAGTGTGGTGGAGTCTCCTTCTTTGGAGGTCTTTAAGCAGAGGCTTGACAACCATATGTCAGGAGTGCTCTGATGTTGTTTCCTGCTTGGCAAGGGGTTGGACTCGATGGCCCTTGTGGTCTCTTCCAACTCTATGATTCTATGATCCCAGAGTGGGTAATCTTCATAAAAAGGGAAGGTGGAGGGAAGGAAGGGGAATAAAAGATCAGGCTAAGTTCAAATTGAAAGCCAGGTAGAATAGCTCTGTCTTACAGGCCCCGCGGAAGGAAGTTAAATCCTGCAGGGCCCTGGTCTCATGGGGCAGAGCATTCCACCAGGTCGGAGCCATCACTAAGAAGGCCCTGGCCCTGGTGGAGGATAATCTGACTTCCTTAGGGCCCAAACTATGATTATTCATGGACCTTAAGGTCTTCTGCGGGGCATACCAGGAGAGGCATACCAGGGGAATCAGACTCTTTCATCCTTCCTGAGGAGCTCAGAAGGCAAAACAAGCGGCATTTTCCTGAGACGGAAAAAGAAGCATAGGAAGTCTCAGCAGCCCTGCAGGGAATTCTCCTGCCCTAGATATTCTCCTGCCGCTGGACATCCCCTCTGCAACAGTCCCCAACAGTTTTTAAACATGTTTTTGTGATTCCAAATTAATCAGTCTGCTTCCTCTATCTTTCTTAAGGCGGACATGGTACGCTCAGTAGTGACCTGAAAGTAGATCCCATTGAACTCAGTGGAGCTTACATATGAGTAAATCTGCAATGGACTGCTGTGCATATTCTCCCTCTTCTGACACACAGAAACCCATTGGTCCTCTTCCCCTCCCTTCTTCCAGTCAAGACCTTCTTGCCCTTTCTCCCCCCTGTGTCTTTTCTGCTCACTTGGGGGGGGGTTCCCCTCCCCCCCCATCCATCCATCCTCCCTCCCCCCCAAACCCCTGTAACTCAGGCAGAAGCAAAGGGAGCCTGCAGGGATTTATCCTGCCACAGAATTTCCTTGTTTCCACTCCCCAAACCTCCATGCCCCCATCTCCATTCCCTGCCACTCACCAGATCTCTCTGAGGCTCCTGGAGGGGAACGGTCAGAGGTTGTGGGAGGCAGCTGGACCAGGTCAACCGTCCATCTTCCCCCTTCCATCCTCGCTAGGTTCGCAGGATCAGACTCTTCCATCCTTCCTGAGGAGCTCAGAAGCTGCAGGTTCCTGGGAGGGAGATAGAAGCAAAGGGAGCCTCAGAGGCCCTGCAGGCATTTTCCCGCCCAAGATATTTTCCTGGTGAATGATAAGCCTGCCTAGGTGTGGAGCTCCCATGATAAAAGAGGAGTGTCCCCCCTCCTGAACCCCACCATGCGAGGAAAGTGGAGTCATGCCTGAAAGGGGATCTTCTTCCCACCAACATTCAAAACATTCCTTTTTTGGCTTCCTTCTTTCTCTGCCAGCCTGGAGCTGTGACCTGGCTGCCTCCCTCCCTTCCACCTCCTCCCCCAACCCCACTTTAGGGGAAGGGGCTGTAGCTCAAGGGAGGAGCATCTCCTAAGCAGGCAGAAAGCCCCCGATCCAAGACCCCCCCCCTTTGGTCTAATCCTGCCCTCTCTACTCGACCCCTTTCTCTCCAAAACATCCATGCCTCCTTCCTCCTCTTCCCAGAGCCATCCTGCCCCCTTTCCTTTGGGGGGGGGTTCCTACCCCACCCTAAAACTCCCCCCCCCCGCCTCGCCTTGCTCTCCTCCTGGGGCGCCCCTGCACCCCTCGAGGTCCTTTGCTCTCCCCGCAGCTCTTTCGGGTCCCATTTGTGGGGTGCAACCCCATGCATGCTCCTCTCCTGGAGGGCTTCTCTCCTGCAAAGGAGCTGCTCTGGCACGGGAGCCCCCTCCTCCCCCCCAAAAAATATATCCCTCTTTTCCTACCTTGCAAAAGGCACAGTCTTCCGCGCTGCAGAATCTCCTCCCTCGCAGCTGTTCAAATGTGACAAACGGAGGAGGAAGTGACGCTTTTCCTCTCCTCCCCCAGGAAGTCCTCTGTCATAATATAATCGCTGCCTTTAACCCTTGAAGAGCCAGTATTCCCTCATCCCAAACTGTAAGGTGCTGGGGACATTGCAGATTCTGCTTCTTTGTACTCCATAAAGTAGGGTTGCTACCTTGGGGGTGATTCCTCCCACCCCCCAATTTGTTGCTGACCCGACTTCGAAGCAATCCATTACAATCTGTCGCAGCCCAACACGATGCCCCATCTTGCATTTCTCTCCCTCATCATCATTCCTGCAATTTCCTCCATCGCCTCTCCAACAATTTCATTTGTTCCACAGAACTTTCCCTCCGGTTGACAGAAGAGAATCCTTTGGATCCCAGCTTGAAGTGTAGAATGACTTTCCCCAGTCTTCAGGTTAAATATGCTATAAAGGCTGTCAATTTAGCGTGCTTCCTAACAAGTTTGGATTTGTGAAAGTTTTATTTATGGCTGAGTAATACATGCACTTTATTGTGTTACCGGAAAATCCGAGGGCCCCCTTGGACAAAACAAAGACACCAACCAGGATAACTTGGAGCAAAACAGCAGCCTGTAGGCTTGGCCTTTATTGAACTGATGCATCAGGGTGTTCCCCTCACTTGCAGGAGAGAGGAAAGACCCAGAAAAATAGTGTGCAAGGTCTTATAAAAACTTTTGAAATTCCCCTCCTCTAGGTCAAGCCCACCCCCAGAAACATCATGCATACATTACAGAAAGGAGGGGTTGAGGGAGGAGTTGGTGGTAACCTGAGTGTCCTGTCACCTGGCTGGTTCCCTTCTCTCCCCCTCCCATGAGTCACTTCCAGGAGACAAAGGGGAGTTGGCAGTTTCCTGCCCCCAGAGGGAAGATCTGATCATTGTCCTTTGTTTCAGTCCATGCTGAATCCACTCCCATATGCAAGTTCTTTGTGATCTTGATTGTCTTCTGTCTAGGACCATCAGGGTTGGCATAGCAACTGGGCAGGGCTCCTGTGGATGTGCTGGGATGGTGAAGGGATTATGTCTGACCAGAACCAAGCCACCCCCCTGTCACCCCCCTTTGATAGTCCTTGTCATATGGAGTAAAATAAAAATGGAACAGTGCAAATCCAATGTATGGTTGATTTTTCTATGAATTTATAACAGAAATGTGGCGTATGTAGTGTGTGAGTGTGAGTGTGTGTGAAGTTTGTACAAACAGAATGATTGGGGTGGGGGGGTTCCTGCTACAATTGGTAACTGTTGGGCTGATTATATTTATTTTCTCGCCTAATTTTGTTTTCAGTTTATAAATAGGTTCTCAAATTGTATTTCTGTTCTATTCTAAACAATAGCTCAGCTCTTGCCAAGTTTCCATCACATGTATGCTTTTATTTAAAAGAAATATTTCCATTTTATTTACTGCTTTCCAATCCAGCTCAGCCCCTGGCCTCTCAAGATCTTCCCTCCAAAACTTCGGAGGGGCTCCTCTCCACTCCCACTGGTTGCCCCCCATGGCTTTTCTCACCTCTGCAGGTTTGCCAGCTATGCCCCCTTTTGGACAGAGGTGACTTGGCAACTGCACTCCAGGCTCTGGCAAGTTCCAGGCTGAATAATTGCAATGTCTTCTATACGGGGCTTCCCTGAAAGATGACTCAGAAACTTCCATGGGTCCAGATCCCCTTGATCCACTTGAACCACATACGGCTTCTGAGTAAATGGTGAATGTCATATCCTTGAGACCACAAGCCCTTCCTTCAGATACACTTTCCTCCCCTCCTTCCTCTCTCCCCATATTCACACACAGGTACACAGGGATTGTTTATTGTGAATTTATTCCTTAAACCATTAACGTCTATAGTATCTGCATTTTTGTACTTTTTATCATTCTGCATATAAATATTCAACATTCAATAAACAACTACAGTGGTACCTCGGGTTAAGACCTTAATTTGTTCTGGAGGTCCGTTCTTAACCTGAAACTGTTCTTAACCTGAGGTACCACTTTAGCTAATGGGGCCACCCGCTGCCGCCGCCACACAATTTCTGTTTTTAGTTCTTAACCTGAGGTACTATTTCTGAGTTAGCGGAGTCTGTAAACTGAAGCATCTGTAACCCGAGGTACCACTGTATTTTTTTAAAAGGCAGTTTTCTTCATTTTCTTCCTAAAATGGAGCTGTTTACTGCATTAATTCTGCCCTGTTCCAGAAGTTTCCATGAAAGCTTTCAGGAAAGCTATGAAGAATTTGCATGACTAGAAGTGCCTTAAGATTTTCAAAATGAAAACACTTAGGGGAACTCAATTTCCCCCTTCCCTTTTTAAAAAAAGATAATACAATATGGTTAAGAATATCGCATTTTTACTTATTCTATAAAGATGGACAGAAGCTGATGGTGTTAATCTGAATTAGTTGGCCTGCTTGTAACTAACAATATGTTGGAATGTTGCTTCAAGGCGTTGCTTCCTCCTGCAGTGGTTTATAAGCGAGGAATTTTATTATTTCTGAGTATGCATGTGTTTTTGTGCATGTGCATTTATAGGTATACCTGATTATATTCCACCTTTCCAGTGAAAGGTAACTACAACAGCACACAGGTAACAAAATGTATTACTCTGACCCCCATGATAATGCTCAAATATAATGCTTTAATTCATCTAGAAGTTACAAGGAAAAGGTGGGACACACCTAGAGGAAAGAAGGGAAATGCCTCATTACCAACTACAATCAAATTACCCAACTGCTACAAAACAAAAGCAATGAATCCTGGTCCGCTTTCAATAACTGTTTTGCAGGATCTGACCCAAGGTCCATGGATGGCACCATCTTGTACCCAAGAGCACCAGCCAGAAACCTGCAGGAGTTCAGAAGCAGTACATGATGCTCAGGCCTTTTTTCCCTGCCTTTCCACACAACATGCTTCCTTAGATAAGAGTGTGACCATATTAGGCCATCCTTTGGTCTGTTTTCAAAGATGAGATGAGCAAGAATGGTGGAGACTGCCACTCCAATAGGCTTCAGAGAAGGGGAAGAGGAAGGGAGTATGGACCTAGAATTGCGGTGGTTTGAGATGGGACACACCGCAGAAGAAGGAAGGAGCTGGGAAATAGTGGATCAACAGGAGCAAGATAGCAGGTGCTCCAGCCCTGAACAGAGACAGGAGCCTGTTGCGTTAGAAATATCACAGCACCCAAGCGACACGATGTCTCTAGTATACTGGAGTCCCCTCCTTCCCCTACAACCAGGCGTGCCCTTCATCTCACAGAGCAGAAAGCCAAACAGACACAGAGATTTTCCATTAGTGGCCCCCGTAGACAACAGGAAGGGACTCAAGGCCAGGAAGTAACTGCTGGGGGCAGGAAGACTCACTCTAGGCAACAGCTCAGGTTTTTGAGGACATACATTCCATGTTTCTGTGTGTATTTGTTGATTTAAAGGAAAGAAGCGAAGGAAGCACTCAGCAGCACTGATTTCACCAGGCAGCCAGCCAGCCCTGTAGTTGACGGCACCTTCGTGACAGTAGCTGTACCATTTCTCCCATTGGAATTATTGTATGAATTCCATGAAGTTTAGCAACAGCGGTGCTCTAATTAAAATGCTTTCCGCATTACAAGCATCTCAATATTTCTTTCCTCTTGATTCGCTTATGCAAAACGAGTTGTGAAATCTGACCAAATCTTTTTCCTACATTCCAAGCATATATATGGTTGATCCCATGTGAGTTCTTTTATGAGAAGTAAGCTTAGATCCATGTGCAAATCTCCTTCCACACTCCAAACATTTATATGGTTTCTCCCCTGTGTGAATTCTTTGATGAGATCTAAGGCTTGAGCTGTGAGTGAAGTTCTTTCCACACTCAAAACAGGTATATGGTTTCACCCCTGTGTGAATCCTTTGATGACATATAAGCTGTGAGCTGAGAGTGAAGCTCTTTCCACACTCAAAACATGCATACGGTTTTTCACCTTTGTGAATTTTTTGATGTATATGAAGGCCTGTACCATGCCTGAAGCTCTTTCCACACTCAAAGCACTTATATGGCTTCTCTTCTGAATGTATTCTGCGATGGCTAACAAGGTGTGTACAGTTACTAAAGCTCTTTCCACATGTCACACATTTATATGGTTTTTCCCCTGTATGGATTCGCTCATGCACAGTAAGATGTGAACTCTGACTGAAGCTCTTCCCACACTCAAAGCATTTATATGGCTTCTCACCAGTGTGAGTTCTCTTATGTGAACTAAGGTGTGAACTCTGGCTGAAGCTCTTTCCACATACCAAGCATTTATATGGTTTCTCCCCTGTGTGGGTTCTCTTATGTGAAGTAAGGCTAGCACTGTGAGCAAAGCTCCTTCCGCACTCCAAACATTTATAAGATTTCTCTCCTGTGTGAATTCTTTGGTGCGATATAAGACTTGAGCCGTGAGCGAAGCTCATTCCGCACTCCAAACATTTATACGGCTTCTCCCCTGTGTGGATTTTTTGATGAGTTAGAAGACCTTGGCTATTACGGAAGCTCTTTGCACAGTCAAAACAGGTGTACGGTTTCTCCCGTGTGAATTTTTTTTATGATCTACAAGGCCTGAGCTGTAAGTGAAGGCCTTTCCACACTCTAGACAGGCATATGGTTTCTCCTCACTGTGGACTTTGTGATGTCTTTTAAGGTATGAGTGGCGATTGAAACTCTTTCCACATTCTCGGCATCCATATGATTCCTGTCCTGCATGAATTCTTTCATGTGATTTTAGGCCTGAGCTGTCACTGAAGCTCTTTCCACACACCAAGCATTTACACAGTCTCTCCTCGGAGTGGTTTCTGCAGTGTGGGCTGAGGCTCAATTTACCTTGGAATGTTTTGCCACACGAAGGGCTATCATTTGTTCTCTTTGCTTCATGCTTATTTCTTTCTGATGAGCCCTGAGAACGATGATTTTCCTGGTCATCACCTGCTAAAATTAAGGGAAAACAACAAACATTAAAAACTTCCTGATACAGGGCTGCCTTCAGATGTCTTCTAAAAGCTATGTAGTTCTTTATCTCCTTGACATCTGAAGGGAGGGTGTTCCACAGGGATGGTTCCACTACCGAGATGTAACTTCACTTCTTGCTGTGACAAAACCAGCAGAAGACCCTCAGAGTTGGACCTCGGTGTCCGGGCAGAACAATGGAGGTGGAGACGCTCCTTCAGTTCTACAAGGCTGAGGCCGTTTAGGGCTTTAAAGGTCAGCACCAACACTTTGAATTGTGCTTGGAAACATACTCTGTATGTAGATCCTTTAAGACCAGTTATAGGTTCCTGGCAACTGCTCCCAGTCACCAGTGGACCTGCCACTTTCTGGATTAACTGTAGTTTCCGAGTCACCTTCAAAGGCAGCCCCACCTAGTGCGCATTGTAGCAATCCAAGCGGGAGATAACCAGAGCATGTACCACAGTCTGCATGCAGGTAGGGTCTCAGCCTGTGTACCAGATGGAGCTGGTAGACAGCAGCCCCTAAATCCTGGCTATGCCCATGTCAACATTAGAAAACATTCATTTCCTTTCTTTCTACCTTTTATCTCTGCTAGCCCAGAGCTCTGGCCCTGCAGCCTTCCTTGTTTTCATGCCAGGTGGGCTTCCTCAATCCCAACATTTACCCAGGTCCCCATCTCCATTCCCTGAGACTCAGCAGATCTCTCTAAAGGTCCTGGGTGGGAACATTCAAAGGTGGTGGGAGACAGCCTGACCAGGTCAATCGTCCATCTTCCCCCTTCCAACCTCGCTAGGTCTGCAGCAGCAGGAGGAGGAGGAGGAGGAGGAGAAGAATTATTATTTCTGTATCCTGCCCTCTCTGGCCGAGGCAGGGCCCAGAGTGTCTAACATCATAAAAACAACACAATATGCATAAAAACAGACATCAATTAATTAAAACACATCTTAAAATTAATTCAGACAAGTTAAAATTGGAATTGAGAGTGGTTAATACTTGCCAGGACCAACTGTTTCCACTGATCATACAAGGTCATGTGAGCAGGTTGGGGGCCTCCTTCGGGCTTGTTTTATACAAAGGAAAGTAAGTCAAACTGCATCCTGCCCAAAGGCCTGGCAGAACTGCTCCATCTTGCAGGCCCTGCAGATGTCAAATCCCGCAGGGCCCTGGTCTCTTGTGGGAGAGTGGTCCACCAGGCTGGGGCCACGGCTGAAAAGGCCCTGGCTCTAGTCAAGGCCAGTCTAATTTCCCAGGGGCCTGGGATCTTCAAGGGGTTGTTCTTAGCAGAAAGAGGGTGAAAGAGGATCAGCCTCTTCCATCCTTCCCGAGGAGCTCAGAAGCCTAAAGAAGCTGCAGGTTCCTTGGGAGGGAGGGAGGGAGGGAGGGAGGAGTAAAAGGAGCCTCAGAGAAGCTGCAGGGATTCCTCTGCCCTAGATATTCTCCAGCCTCTGCAGAAGCCCAAATGGGGCATATATTAAAAATTTATATAACCCAATCTGGTGGGCTTCTCACAGCCACCCAGTGTGGCTAAGAGCATATATAAAAAGAGACCAAAACATCAAACATAAAAAACAGAAATATCCTATACAGGCAACAAACAAACCAATAATAAGAATAGCAACAATAATAACAACATGTTTACAGCTATACCCAAATTAAAATAACCACCGACCCCAACTAAACAATTAACCAACACCAACCCCACGAAAACAAAACGGAGGAACGAAAATCAGAACCTTTTAAAGCATTTTAGCCGGTTGCCCCAACCCAAGAGTTGTTCCAGCAATGTCCCAGTGGCCTCTCAGGAGCCTCTTTTGGCTGTTCAAGGTGAGACTGGGCTCCACCCCCTTGGCCAGGTGGAATGGGCCTTGCACCCAGGTCTCACGGCATGGGGAGCACAGTAGTGACCTGAAAGTGGTTCCCATTGAACGCAGTGGTTTTTATATCTATATAGGGCTCCTCTGCCTATTCCTCCTCTTCTGGCAACATATTGGTGCATGCTCCAGGGGAGAGACTTTGGAGAAGACCTCTCCCCTGCCTTCCTCCAAGTCAAGACCTTCTTACATTGCTTGTTCTCCTGTCTTTTCTGCTTGCTTGAGGGAGGGTTTTCCTCCAGCCCCCACCCACCCATTCCTCCTTCTCCACCCCCAACACTCTGAAACTCAGCCAACCTCTCCCAGCCTCAGAGGTGGGGAGCCCCAGCTCAGGACCACAAATCCAGCCTCTCTGGAACTATTTTGCAGGACTCAGAAGTTTAAACAAGCTGCAGGTTTTTATGGGTGAGGGAGAAGCAAGGGGGCCTCAGAGCCCCTCCGGGGATTTTCCTCCATGGATATATTGGGAGGGAAAGCCCACCCACAGTTTCCACAGTAAAACCTCCCCCCTTTATCTTATTCCTTGCTTTCACTCTCCATCCCCCCAAGTCCCTATCTCCACTTCCTAGGAACTCACGAGATGTCTCTGAGGGTCCTGGAGGACAACGCTCAGAGGTTGTTTGGAGGGAGGCAGGAGACAGTCTGTCCAGGTCAACCATCCATCTTCCTCCTTCCATCCTCGCCTGGATTGAAGAGCTCAGAAGCTGCAGGTTCCTGGGAGGGAGGAAGAAGCAAAGAGAGCCTCAGAGGCCCTGCAGTCAGTTTCCTGCCCAAGACATTTTCCTGGTGAAGGTGAAGCCATGCATGAAAAGTGGAGCGATGCCTGAAATAAGATCTTCTTCCCACCACCATTAAAAACATCCCTTCCCTTTTTTGCCAGTCTGGAGCTGTGACGACACGGCTGCCTCCCTCTGTTCCTCCTTGTCCTGCAACCGCACTTTAGGGCAGAGGTCGGCAACCTGCGGCTCCGGAGCCGCATGTGGCTCCTTTAAACCTTTGCTGCGGCTCCGGGGCGCCTCTTCCCTCATGGTGCAGGGAGCGAAGAAAAAGAGGAGGAGGGCGGCGGCAGGAAGGCGCGCCAGGGCGCAGCGGCGGTTCTCCCTTCAGGTGGACACTGTTGCCACTGCCACCGCTGGCACCTGCCACACACGGGCGCGTCCACAAGCAGGCGCGCTCCCTTTCGCCGTCGGTCGCAGCAGCCCGCCCGCCCTCAGGCCCCGCGCGCTGCGCCGCTTGACGTTGAGAGCTGCCCACCCAGGCCACGCTCTCCTCAGCCCCGCACGCGAGGCACCTGAGGCGAGGGAGAGAGCGCACACACGCTCGAGGGAAATGGCGGGGTGGGGTGTGTGTGTGTGAGAGAGAGAGAGAGAGAGAGAGAGAGAGAGAGAGGGGTGGCGGTGGTGCTTCGGGATCCATTTCTGTGCCTTGCTTCTGAGTGGCCGCCGAGTTGAGGGAGGAGGGGGTCCAGAGGTAGCCAGCAGGAGAGGCGGGGGAGCACGAGAGCAATTGCAGAGGGAGGGGGAGCTGTTAGGCACCAAAATCCTGCATGCGGGATTTCCCCGTTCTCTCGTGCCTATGCAATTCCTGCCCTTCTCCCTTCCCCCTCGAGATTTGCTGCAGAGACAAGCAAATGAAGAAGAAAGGGAAGAGTATTAGCTGACATGTCCCCTGGTCCCATGGAAAGCACCACAGATTCCTTTGCTTACCAGCTCTTTTTATTTTAAGTTGGCTTCAAACCTGTAATTGTGTAGGTGTATGTATGTATACATATACACACATAAATATTCATATCTCTTCCCTCTCACCTTCCTTTCACCCAGTTTCTCTGGCACTGATAGCAGCATAAATGCTGCTATGTAGAAATGATGAGAAAGTTGCACCAGCAGAAGGAATGGATATGTGCTTTTAGTAAAAAGAGAGGGAGTTGAACTGCAGGGAGGGACAGACACTTTTCTATGTATTAATTTGTATAATGCCCTCTATGCACATGGTGCTTTGCAAAAAATGGATATGAGAGGTACCATTCCCCTCTTTGCTATCTGAAATAGACTCAGGGAAAAGAGAGAGAATGGGGGAAGGGGAAGAATGTGTGGTTATTTACATTTGGCTTGTTTTGCGGCTCCCAGCTGTTGTTTTTTCTTCGAAAACGGGTCCAAGTGGCTCTTTTTGTCTTAAAGGTTGCAGACCCCTGCTTTAGGGGAAGGGGCTGTAGTTCGAGGGCAGCGCATCTCTTCCGCAGGCAGGAAGCCCCAGATTCAGTCCCCAGGCAAGGCTGAGAAACCACGTCTGAAAACCCGGAAGAGCAATTGCTGCCGGTCCGTGTGGACAATAGTAGCCCAGGTGGAGCAAGGGTATGACTGTGTAGGCAGCTGACTGCGCTTGGAGCCCCCAGTTCTGCTGCAGCAGTGGCTGGTGGTGAGAAACTAATGACATTTTAGGGCCAGTGGTTCTCCTCTTCCCATCCTTAAAGTCTTCCCTCCTCCATCTCTCCCAACATCTTGGTTTCTCCCAGGGCTGGTCTGCTATACAGAGAGACTGCGCCCTCCTTGGGGGCTTTCCTCCTGACCCCCCCCCCCCCAGACAGGGAAGGCATCGAAGATAAAAGAGCCCATGCCGTCTAGAGCTGAAATGAGTTTCCAGCTGACCCTGCCCTCTCTCCCCCTCTTTCCCCAAAACATGAATGTCTCCCTCCTCCTCTTCCCAGAGCCATCCTGCCTCCTTTCCTTTTAGGGAGGGGGGTTTCCACGCTCACCCTAAAACTGCCTCTTCCCCCCCCTGCTCTCCTCCTGGGGCGCCCCTGCACCCCTTAAAGCCTTTTGCACTCATCGCAGCTCTTGGGGGGGCTGAATTGGGGGGGCAACCCCACGCATGCGCCCTCCCACCGCTGCCCCTTTGCAAAACTGCCCTCTCCTGGAGGGCTTCTCTCCTGCGAAGGAGCTGCTCTGGCGCGGGAGCCCCCTCCCCCCCAAAATATATCCCTCTTTTTCCTACCTTGCAGAAGGCACCGTCTTCCGCGCTACAGACTCTCCTCCCTCGCAGCTGTTCAAATGTAACAAACCGAGGAGGAAGTGACGCTTTCCCTCTCCTCCCCCAGGAAGTCCTCTCTCATAATATAATCGCTGCCTTTAACCCTTGAAGAGCCAGCGTCCCTCCCACCCCACCCAAACTGCGTGGTGCTGGAGACATTGCGGATTCCGCCTATGGGGACCCCACAAAGCGCCCCCTTCCCTTGGAGGGGGGCACGCCCTCCTTTTTCTTACTGCATTTCCAGGGCGGTGGGATTTGCATTCTGCAGAGGGTCTGCTCCAAGGTTCAAATGTGGGGCAGTTGTGGCATAGAGTGGTTAGAGTGCACCTCTTGATATTAAGGTGGGACATTTCATAGCCCTGTTATGTTACAGTAGAACACAAAAGAATTCTTTCTCATCCCTGGTAAAGAAAAATAAGCACCCCACCCCAGACCTTCTAAGGCTGCTTTTTGCAATATCAGAACCATAGTGCCAGAACAGCCATCTCGAAACCATGCCCACCTCACAAGGTTACTGAGAAGATGGGGGGGGGCAGGCAGGACACACACAAACCCTACCTACAAGGATGTGCAGTTTCACAGATTTTGCTCACAGCTTAGCCCACCTCACAGGGTTGTTGTTGTTGCAAAGGTAACAGGTGAGCGGAGAAGCCAGCAAGAAGCCGGGTGCAAATGTTTCATTTCAGCTTCACAGACCCTGCAGAGACACAAAACTGGTGCCAAGCTCACCCTGCTCCATCACAATCGCTTAACTGCAAAACTGCAGTCCTGATCTTTTACAGGGGGAAGAAAACACCGGAAAAGGAAAAATATATACAATTGACTTGCAGGCAGAGAGTTTTAAAGCTCTTTTTGGACAGGGCAGAAAAATGGGGGTGGGGGCAGGACGGGGGTCTAAGAGGCATCCGGCTGCTGGTTCCAGAAGGCAAGGATGGTCCGATGGACGCATTCCCAGGGGTTTGTCCCAACTATATGTGATTTCGACTTTACCACCAAAATGTAACCCCTGCAAAAGTTGTGTGTCGAACTGTGCACCCCATACAATAGTTTATTACAACTCTCAGCACCCTTAACCAGCAAAAGAGCTCCCAGAAATCTTAGGGGGGTTTCATGGGGCTTTGGATATGTGGGGTGAATGTGGCCTAACAGATTTGTGCTTGTGTGTGTGTGTGTGTGTCTAGCATCACTTGGCCTCCAAACACACTTTGGAAATAGGCACACATTGATCAAAATGGTGCAGCATAAAATCACAGGTGCAGTCAGCTCTCTATCCTAGTACAGTCATACCTCGGGGTGAATACGCTTAAGCTTAAATATTTTCGGGTTGCGCTCCATGGCAATCTGGAAGTAACGGAGCGCGTTACTTCCACGTTTCGCCACTCACATATGCGCAGGCGCTAAAAATGATGTCACGCGCATGTGCGGAAGCAGCGAAAAGATAAAAACTCAATTATATAAAATACATTTTGGGGTTTCGAATCAATAGTCAGATAGTGGATCTTATTCTAATTGCCCCAGCTAAAAACCTTGCAACCTTTCCTGTCACCTGCTCATCTTGGTCTGCTGAGAGAAAAAACACTGTGACAGGGGCTGGGTGACCTGGAATAGACAATAAAATAGGGGTGATAACATCACTCTTCAAATCTTTATATAGAGTGCAAACCAGAAGGACATGTGCCACTGATTCGGTACTGCCATCTCCACAGGGACATAACCGTTTTTCGTGTGGAATCGTCCCTCAATTACAACCGAAGGCAGTATATTCAGTCTTGTGAGAGTAAATGCACGTCTATATTTTATAATTGCTAAGTTATGCAGATAGGGTGCAGAAGAGTCAAAATGGGTATATCACTGCCGCTGATGTTTTTCCTACTGCGACCTTGGGCAGTAGGAATGTTGTCCCAATGTTGTCATTCCAGGGTGGTTCAGGGCGGACCTGAAGTCACAAGATTAAGTCCTGTCCTCCTCAGCTCAGCTCCCCCCCCCCATCCCACTTCCAGATAAACAACAGGCCTCTGCTTTCAGTTGATCAACAACTTTCAAACATCCGCCAATTTCTTCCTTGTCTTAGACGGGAAGGGTTTTTCTCTCCAAGCATTCGGGGACCACTGCTATTCATGTGCCCTTGTGAAATTCCTCTCACCTCCATGGTAGCGTTTTGCTGTTTAGCCAATGTCCTTCCTCTTAAAAATAGGTTGTATGTCAACACCTCCTTAAATGAGGGGGTTGCATCATGGCAAAGGTGATGACCCAACTCCTCCATCTGCCCCCATGCTGATCTGCATGGGAGCGAGCCGTTGAGGCGACTGGGGGTCAGCCTGCTCCCTCATACCCCAGGAGGTTTCCAGGAATGCTTAAACCCTTTCGTTCCCTACCCCTTCATTTGTGCCTCCCTCCAATGTCGAGGGAGCTGCCGCCATGGTGCAAGACCAGAACCGGAAACTCAAGGTCAAAGAATAATACAAATAATAATAATAATAATAATAATAATAATAATAATAATAATAATTTATTATTTATACCCCGCCCATCTGGCTGGGCCTCCCCAGCCACTCTGGGCAGCTTCCAAAAGAATATTAAAATACTGTGATACATCAAACATTAAAAGCATCCCTAAACAGGGCTGCCTTCAGATGTCTTCTAAAAGTCTGGTAGTTGTTGTTCTCTTTGACATCTGGTGGGAGGGCGTTCCACAGGGAGGGCGCCACTGCCGAGAAGGCCCTCTGCCTGGTTCCCTGTAACTTGGCTTCTCACAGTGAGGGAACCGCCAGAAAGCCCTCGGTGCTGGACCTCAGTGTCCGGGTAGAACGATGGGGGTGGAGACGCTCCTTCAGGTATACTGGACCGAGGCCGTTTAGGGCTTTAAAGGTCAGCACCAACACTTTGAATTGTGCTCGGAAACGTACTGGGAGCCAATGTAGGTCTTTCAAGACCGGTGTTATATGGTCTCGGAGGCCGCTCCCTGTCACCAGTCTGGCTGCTGCGTTCTGGATTAGTTGTAGTTTCCGGGTCACCTTCAAAGGTAGCCCCGCGTAGAGCGCATTGCAGTAGTCCAAGCGGGAGATAATCAGAGCATGCACCACTCTGGCGAGGCAGTCCGCAGGCAGATAGGGTCTCATCCTGCGTACCAGATGGAGCTGGTACACAGCTGCCCTGGGCACACATTTAACCTGTGCCTCCATGGACAGCTGTGAGTCCAAAATGACTCCCAGGCTGCGCACCTGGTCCTTCAGGGGCACAGTTACCCCATTCAGGACCAGGGAAATGTAGTGTTGGAAGGGACCACAAGAATCATCTAGTCCTGGGGTAAAGGTAAAGGGACCCCTGACCGTTAAGTCTAGTGGCGGATGACTCTGGGGTTGCAGCACTCATCTCACTTTACTGGCCAAGGGAGCCAGCGTACAGCTTCCGGGTCATGTGGCCAGCGTGACTAAGCCGCTTCTGGCGAACCAGAGCAGCACACGGAAACACCGTTTACCTTCCCGCCAGAGCGGTACCTATTTATCTACTTGCACTTTGATGTGCTTTCGAACTGCTAGGTTGGCAGGAGCAGGGACCGAGCAATGGCAGCTCACCCCGTCGCGGGGATTCAAACCGCCAACTTTCTGATAGGAAAGCCCTAGGTTCTGTGGATTAGACGACAGCACCACCTACGTCCCAGTCCAGGGGTAGTCAACCTTTTTATACTTAACGCCCACTAATGCATCTTTTTTGATGGTAAAATTTCCTTACCGCCCACCAGGACTTGATGGGAGGATTCAGAACCCCCTACTGCCCAGTTAGAATCCTGAAATTCCCACTAGTGTACGGTAGGGACCAGGTCGACAATCCCTGATCTAGACCAACCCCCTGCAATGCAGGAAAAACAACCCGACCTCTGCTGAAAAACCTAAAAAAAGGAAGGAAGGTTCACCACCTTCCAAGGTAGCTCATCTCACTTGCAGTCAGAAATTTCTTCCTAAAGCTTAGGATTAGATGTATTTTTACTCCTTGCATAAAATACAGATGCAGGAAGAGTCGGAAAGCCAGGAAGTAATTGTAATCTCTGTATTTACGTGGATTTAAATGAAAGAAGTGAAAGAAGCTCTCTTACATAACTGGGACAAAATTACATAACTGGGAAAAAAATATTACAAAAAGACAATACCAATAAAGAGTACAAATTAAGAAGGGGGGAAGGAAAAGAAAACTTAAACTATCTATTGTTATTAGTAAGATAAAGAATATGACATAAATTTGAGATTGCAATTTCATGTTACAGTAAAAAAAATCTCATTATCATTAAAACCCAACCTCCCATTTATTCCTTAGTTTCTTTCTAAATAACTTTACTGCCATACCAAAATATTATTTTTTATATTATTTTTACAGAGTTTTTTTGTTGTTTAGTCATTTAGTTGTGTCCGACTCTTTGTGACCACATGGAACAGAGCACGCCGGGCACTCCTGTCTTCCACTGCCTCCCGCAGTTTGGTCAAACTCATGCTGGTAGCTTAAAGAACACTGTCCAGCCATCTCGTCCTCTGTCATCCCCTTCTCCTTGTGCCCACCATCTTTCCCAACATCAGGGTCTTTTCCAGGGAGTCTTCTCTTCTCATGAGGTGGCCGGAGTATTGGAGCCTCAGCTTCACAATCTGTCCTTCCAGTGAGCACTCAGGGCTGATTTCCTTCAGAATGGATAGGTTTGATCTTCTTGCAGTCCATGGGACTCTCAAGAGTCTCCTCCAGCACCATAATTCAAAAGCATCAATTCTTCAGCAATCAGCCTTTTTTATGGTCCAGCTCTCACTTTCATACATCACTACTGGGAAAACCACAGCTTTAACTATATGGACCTTTATTGGCAAGGTGATTTCTCTGCTTTTTAAGATGCTGTCTAGGTTTGCCATTGCTTTTCTCCCAAGAAGCAGGCGTCTTTTAATTTCGTGGCTGCTGTCACCATCTGCAGTGATCATGGAGCCCAAGAAAGTAAAATCTCTCACTGCCTCCATTTCCCCCCCTTCTATTTGCCAGGAGGTGATGGGACCAGTGGCCATGATCTTCGTTTTTTTGATGTTGAGCTTCAGACCATATTTTGCGCTCTCCTCTTTCACCCTCAATAAAAGGTTCTTTAATTCCTCCTCACTTTCTGCCATCAAGGTTGTGTCATCTGCATATCTGAGGTTCTTGATATTTCTTCCGGCAATCTTAATTGGGATTCATCCAGCCCAGCCTTTCGCATGATGAATTCTGCACATAAGTTAAATAAGCAGGGAGACAATATACAGCCTTGTCATACTCCTTTCCCAATTTTGAACCAATCAGTTGTTCCATATCCAGTTCTAACTGTCGCTTCTTGTCCCACATAGAGATTTCTCAGGAGACAGATGGGGTGATCAGGCACTCCCATTTTGATACAAATTCAGCTCTCGGTTTATTTTTTCCTGATAAGCTATCTAATTCAGCATATTTAGTCAATTTTTGAATCCACTCCTGTCTGGAAGGAATTATGTTGCTTTTCCACCTTGATGGCTATAAGGACTCTCGCTGCCACTGTTGCATACAAAAAAATACCTTTAATTTGTTTTGGAATATCTGAGTCAGTGATGCCCAACAGATGTGCCTCTGGCTTTCTATTACAGTGGTACCTCGTGTTACAGACACCTCAGGTTAAAGGTGCTTCAGGTTACAGACTCCACTACCTCAGAAATAGTACCTCGGTTAAGAACTTTGTTTCAGGATGAGAACAGAAATCGCACGGTAGCAGCGGGAGGCCCCATTAGCTAAAGTGGTACCTCAGGTTAAGAACAGTTTCAGGTTAAGAATGGACCTCCAGAACAAATTAAGTTCTTAACCCGAGGTCCCACTGTAAAGGAAAGTCTTAACATTTTTTCTAATTCTGAATGGATTTCCTCCCAAAATTTCTTTATTTTGCTACATTGCCACCATATATGATACAGTGAGCCTGTTTGATCTCCACATCTCCAACAGTTACTTTTGGCTCCTTTGTACATTTTGGCTAATTTCCATGGAGTCAAATACCACTGGTGCTGCATTTTTAAAACGTTTTCCTTATGGCATAGCACGTGGTAAATCTCCAACTATTCTTCCACAGATTTTCCCATTGGGACAATGTTATAACATACCCAAAGTCTTGAGACCACTTTATCACGGCTGATGTAAATCAAATCTCGAGGTTTCCTTGGCAAACCCTTTTTATCTACATTAATTTTTTTGAATATTGGATAATATTGGAACCAATCTGTAATAATATCTCTTAATTCCTCAAAACTTTTAAGTTTCAGTTGGTTATCTTCTTTTAAAATTATTTTATAAGTAGGCCAATTTCACAACGTATTTTTTTCCTTCACCACTGTGGCCTCTGCTTGGAGAGGCCCACCACGGGATTTTAGGCTCCAACCGATCTTTGTATTTCTCCCAAACTTTAAGAAGTGATCTCCTTATAATATGATTTGAGAAATCTCTGTGTATTTTTGCCTTTCCATAAATTCAATAAGGGTGCCAAGCCCAACGGTTATTATGTCCCTCCAAATCCAATAAACCTATATCTTGCAAATTAGCGGTGCTCCACTTAAAGTGCTTTCCTCATTACAAGAATCGAAATATTTTCCCCATCTTGATTCACTTATGCAAAATGAGATGCGAAATCTGACCAAATCTTTTCCCACATTCCAAGTATATATATGGTTTATCCCATGTGAGTTCTTTTATGAGAAGTAAGCGTAGATCCATGTGCAAATCTCTTTCCACACTCCAAACATTTATATGGTTTCTCCCCTGTGTGAGTTCTTTTATGAGAAGTAAGGGCAGATCCCTGTGCAAATCTCTTTCCACACTCCAAACATATATATGGTTTCTCCCCTGTGTGAATTCTTTTATGAGAAGTAAGGCCAGATCCATGTGCAAATCTCTTTCCACAGTCCAAACATTTATATCGTTTCTCCCCTGTGTGAACTTTGTGATGAGATCTAAGGCTTGAGCTTTCAGTGAAGTTCTTTCCACACTCAAAACAGGTATATGGTTTCACCCCTGTGTGAATTCTTTGATGACATTTAAGCTGTGATCTGTGAGTGAAGCTCTTTCCACACTCAAAACATGCATACGGTTTTTCACCTCTGTGAATTTTTTGATGTTTATGAAGGCCTGTACCATGCCGGAAGCTCTTTCCACACTCAAAGCACTTATATGGCTTCTCTTCTGAATGGATTCTGCGGTGGATAACAAGTGATGTGGAGTTACTAAAGCTCTTTCCACATGTCACACATTTATATGGTTTTTCCCCTGTATGGATTCGCTCATGCACAGTAAGATGTGAACTATGACTGAAGCTCTTCCCACACTCAAAGCATTTATACGGCTTCTCACCAGTGTGAGTTCTCTTATGTGAACTAAGGTGTGAACTCTGGCTGAAGCACTTTCCACATTCCAAGCATTTATATGGTTTCTCCCCTGTGTGGGTTCTCTTATGTGTAGTAAGGCTAACACTGTGAGCAAAGCTCCTTCCGCACTCCAAACATTTATAAGATTTCTCCCCAGTGTGAATTCTTTGATGCAATGTAAGACTTGAGCCATGAGCGAAGCTCATTCCGCACTCCAAACATTTATATGGCTTCTCCCCTGTGTGGATTTTTTGATGCATTGCAAGGCCTGAGCTGCTAGTGAAGGCCTTTCCACACTCAAAACAGGTATATGGTTTCTCCCCTGTGTGGATTTTTTTATGATATACAAGGCTTGATCTGCTAGTGAAGGCCTTTCCACACTCTAAACAGGTATATGGTTTCTCCTCACTGTGGACTTTCTGATGTCTTTTAAGGTTGAGTGGCGATTGAAACCCTTTCCACATTCTAGGCATTGGTATGATTCCTGTCCTGCGTGAATTCTTTCATGTGATTTTAGGCCTGAGCTGTCACTGAAGTTCTTTCCACACACCAAGCATTCACACGGTTTCTCCTCTGTGTGGATTCTGCAGTGTGAATTGAACCTAGATTTACTTTGGAATGTTTTGCCACATAAAGGTCTCCCATTTGTTTTCTTCCCCTTCTGATGTTTTTTCTGGACTGGGATTCGATGGTCGTTATCAGTCTGCATTAGAAGGCCTTCATACCTCCCATTTTCTTCTTGGTTTTTCTCTTGTGGTCTTGTTTCCTCTTGATCTTGAAAGGTCTTTCCTTTGACTTCATTCTTGGTTCTTTCTGATGAGACCAAGAACAATGACTGTCGTGTTCATCACCTGCTAAAGTTAAGGGAGGATGACAATTAAAAATGTAATCCAAATCACCATCCTAGTGAGACTTTCTGTAACATCTGATGATGATGATGGTGATTTTATTATTTATACCCTGCCCATCTGGCTGGGTTTCCTCAGCCACAGCATATATAAAACATCAAACTGCCCAATACAGGACTGCCTTCAGATGTCTTCTAAAAGCTACATAGTTCTTTATCTGCTTGACATAATAATAATAATAATAATAATAATAATAATAATAATAATAATATTATTATTTATACCCCGCCCATCTGGCTGAGTTTCCCCAGCCACTCTGGGCGGCTCCCAATCAGTGTTAAAAACAGTACAGCATTACATATTAAAAACTTCCCTGAACAGGGCTGCCTTAAGATGTCTTCTGAATGTCAGGTAATTCTTTATCTCTTTGACATCTGATGGGAGGGCGTTCCACAGGGCGGGCGCCACTACCGAGAAGGCCCTCTGTCTGGTTCCCTGTAGGCTCACTTCTCGCAATGAGGGAACCGCCAGAAGGCCCTCGGCGCTGGATCTCAGTGTCCGGGCTGAACGATGGGGGTGGAGACGCTCCTTCAGGTATACAGGACCGAGGCCGTTTAGGGCTTTAAAGGTCAGCACCAACACTTTGAATCGTGCTCGGAAACGTACTGGGAGCCAGTGCAGATCTCTCAGAACCGGTGTTATGTGGTCCCGGCGGCCACTCCCAGTCACCAGTCTAGCTGCCGCATTCTGGATTAATTGCAGTTTCCGGGTCACCTTCAAAAGGTAGCCCCACGTAGAGCGCGTTGCAGTAGTCCAAGCATGAGATAACCAGAGCATGCACCACTCTGGCGAGACAGTCCGCGGGGAGGTAGGGTCTTAGCCTGCGTACCAGGTGGAGCTGGTAGACAGCTGCCCTGGACACAGAGTTAACCTGCGCCTCCATGGACAGCTGTGAGTCCAAAATGACTCCCAGGCTGCGCACCTGGTCCTTCAGGGGCACAGTTACACCATTCAGGACCAGGGAATCCTCCACACCTGCCCGCCTCCTGTCCCCCAAAAACAGTACTTCTGTCTTGTCAGGATTCAACCTCAATCTGTTAGCCGCCATCCAACCTCCAACCGCCTCCAGGCACTCACACAGGACCTTCACCGCCTTCACTGGTTCTGATTTAAAGGAGAGGTAAAGCTGGGTGTCATCTGCATACTGATGAACACCCAGTCCAAACCCCCTGATGATCTCTCCAGCGGCTTCATATAGATATTAAAAAGCATGGGGGAGAGGACAGAACCCTGAGGCACCCCACAAGTGAGAGCCCAGGGGTCTGAACACTCACCCCCCCCCACCACTTTCTGGACACGGCCCAGGAGGAAGGAGCGGAACCACTGTATGACAGTGCCCCCAGCTCCCAGCCCCTCTAGACGGTCCAGAAGGATGTTATGGTCGATGGTGTCAAAGGCCGCTGAGAGATCCAGCAGAACTAGGAAACAGCTCTCACCTTTGTCCCTAGCCCGCCGGAGATCATCAACCAGCGCGACCAAGGCAGTTTCAGTCCCATGGTGAGGCCTGAATCCCGATTGGAAGGGATCCAAATGGTCCGTTTCCTCCAGGCGTGTTTGGAGTTGCTCAGCAACCACCCGCTCAATCACCTTGCCCAAGAATGGCAGATTTGAGACTGGGCGATAGTTGGCCAAATTGGCCGGGTCTAAAGATGTTTTTTTAAGAAGCGGTTTAATGACCGCCTCTTTCAGCGGGTCTGGGAAGGCTCCCTCACAGAGGGAAGCATTCACCACCCCGCAGAGCCCATCGCCCAGCCCTTCCCGGCTCGCTTTTATCAGCCAGGATGGGCAAAGATCAAGGAGACAGGTGGTCGGTTTCACTCGTCCAAGCAGCCTGTCCACATCCTCGGAGGTAACAGATTGGAATTGATCCCATATAACAGGACCAGACAGAACTCTAGCACTCTCCCGCCCTGGCCCTGCTGCCACTGTGGAGTCTACCTCCTTCTGAATCTGAGCAATTTTATCTGCAAAAAACTTTGCAAAAGCATTGCAGGAGATCTTGGGGTCCCTACCAGGCCCCGGTGGTACAGGTGGTTCCGATAAACTGCGAACCACCTGAAAAAGTCTCCTGCTGCTGTTTTCTGCAGATGCAATGGAGGCAGCGAAGAAGGCCCTCTTCGCCGTCGCCATTGCCACTTGGTAGGCTCGACGTTGAGCTCTAACCCGTGTCCGGTCTGATTCAGAAATGAGTTTTCCGCCACCGGCGCTCTAGCCGTCTCAACGATTGTTTCATCACCCTCAGCTCCGGGGAAAACCACGGGGCTGTCCGGGCTCCATGCAATCGGAGAGGGCGCTTCGGAGCCAGACAGTCAATAGCCCTGGTTAACTCCGCATTCCAGCGTGCCACCAGGGAATCAACTGAAAGGCCATCAACTTGGGATAAAGCATCCCTACCACTCTCTGCAAGCCAATTGGATCCATTAAGTGGCGGGGGCGGACCATCCGAATCGGTCCCACCTCCCTGCGGAGGGGGAAGGGTTTGCGGAGAAGTCCAGTTGCACCAGGAAGACATCTGAAGGGTGCCACCACTGAGCAGGCCCTCTGCCTGGTTCCCTGTAACTTCACTTCTGGCATATCAGGGAACCAGAGCTGGACCTCAGTGTCTGGGGTTGAGAGTGCTCCTTCAGGTCTACAGGGTCAAGACTGTTTAGAGCTTTAAAGGTCAGCACCAACACTTTGAATGATCTCAGAAACAAACTCTGAGCCGATGTAGATCCTTTAAGACCAGTGTTATATGCCTCCTGGCAACTGCTCCCGAGTCACCAGTTGAGCTGCCGCTTTCTGGATTAATTGTAGTTTCCGAGTCACTTTCAAAGGCAGCCCCACCTAGAGCGCATTGTAGCAATCCAAGCGGGAGATAACCAGAGCATGTACCACAGTCTGTGTGCAGGTAGGGTCTTAGCCTGTGTACCAGATGGAGTTGGTAGACAGCAGCCCCCAAATCCTGACTATGCCCAAGTCACCATTAGAAAACATTCATTTCCTGCCTATCTTTAATCTCTGCCAGTCCAGAGCTCTGGCCCTGCAGCCCTCCTTGTTTCTGCCAGGGGAGCTTCCTCAGCCCCCCAACATCTCCCCAGGTCCCCATCTCCATTCCTTGGAACTCACCAGATCTCTCTAAAGGTCCTGGGAGGGAACATTCAAAGGTGGTGGGAGACAGCCTGACCAGGTCAACCGTCCATCTTCCTCCTTCCATCCTCGCTAGGTTTGCAGAATAATAATAATAATAATAATAATAATAATAATAATAAATAAATAATAAATTCTTATTTATACTCCACCCTTCCTGGTTCAGAAAACCGGGCTCAGGGCGGCTAACAACAAATTTAAAACACTTAATTGATGCAACAAAAAACAGCATAAAATACAGTATAAAATGTGAATAACAATAAATTCAGAATTCAAAAATCAAAAATCAATTTAGGTGGAAAATCCATCCACGTAAACATTAGATGATCACCAGGACTAGCTGCCTAAATTCAGTCCTATTTGGGCCAGCGAGGAGACCAGGGGAGAATTAGCTGTGGGATCCTAGAGCGGGTAATCTTTATAAAAAAGGAAGGGGGAGGAAGGAAGGGGAATAAAAGATCACGCTAAGTTCAAATTGAAAGCCAGGCGGAATAGCTCTGTCTTACAGGCCCCGCGGAAGGAAGTTAAATCCTGCAGGGCCCTGGTCTCATGGGGCAGAGCATTCCACCAGGTCGGAGCCATCACTAAGAAGGCCCTGGCCCTGGTGGAGGATAATCGGACTTCCTTAGGGCCCAAACTATGATTATTCATGGACCTTAAGGTCTTCTGCGGGGCATACCAGGAGAGGCATACCAGGGGAATCAGACTCTTTCATCCTTCCTGAGGAGCTCAGAAGGCAAAACAAGCGGCATTTTCCTGGGACGGAAAAAGAAGCAAAGGAAGTCTCAGCAGCCCTGCAGAGAATTCTCCTGCCCTAGATATTCTCCTGCCGCTGGACATCCCCTCTGCAACAGTCCCAAGCTGTTATTAAACATGTTTTTGTGATTCCAAATTAATCTGTCTGCTTCCTCTATCTTTCCTAAGGCCGGCATGCTACGCTCAGTAGTGACCTGAAAGTATATCCCGTTGAACTCAGTGGAGCTTACATATGAGTAAATCTGCAATGGACTGCTGTGCATATTCTCCCTCTTCTGACACACCGAAACCCATTGGTCCTCTTCCCCTCCCTTCTTCCAGTCAAGACCTCCTTGCCTTTTCTCCCCCCTGTGTCTTTTCTGCTCACTTGGGGGGTGTCCCTCCCCGTCCATCCATCCTCCCCCCCAACCCCCTGTAACTCAGGCAGAAGCAAAGGGAGCCTGCAGGGATTTATCTTGCCACAGAATTTCCTTGTTTCCACTCCCCAAACCTCCATGCCCCCAACTCCATTCCCTGCCACTCACCAGATCTCTCTGAGTGTCCTGGAGGGGAACGGTCAGAGGTTGGGGGAGGCAGCCGGACCAGGTCAACCGTCCATCTTCCCCCTTCCATCCTCGCTAGGTTCGCAGGATCAGACTCTTCCATCCTTCCTGAGGAGCTCAGAAGATGCA